TGGAGAGAACGATTAATACAAAAATTGGAGAGAACGATTAAAAACATACTTTTCGCTATTTCTGCAGAATTTTCGGACTGGAGGAGAACGATTAAAAGAATAGTTTTCCAGCCCGGGGCCAGCTTTTTCTAATCGTCATCCCGGTCGCCGCCGCGTGAACACGACCCCCGGTCATTTTTGTTAATCATAATCCTCTATTGCTGCCGGGCAGGTGTGCGCCGACCGCATCGCGAGTCAGTGGAGCCCCCCCCCCCCCCGGCGATCGGGCGCGGCCCTCTCCGGCCCCGGCACGGCGACGGAGCGAGCGGCCTGCCCAGCGCCCTGGGACCATGGGGCGCTGGTCCTGGCCGGGGCCTCTCCATAGGATTGTGGATGCCAAGACACTGGGCACTCTAACAGTCCGATCCTTGAGTTGAAGATGTGTTAAAAAAACTGTATAAAACATGTTCTAACCATGCTTCAAGCATGTTGTTAACACATGTAAAACATGTTTGAAACATCTCTTAGACACCTGGAAATCATTTCGTAGCACGCTTCCTCTCCATTAGTCGCCTTCCACAACTCTATGGGAGCGGCGAGGTGGCCCGTTGGCGCCCCTCGGGCCGCGGCCTTGGGCATGGAGGCGGGGCGCGGCAGCATGGGGGCGGCCGCCTCCTCTGAGCAGGGACCGACCGTCTCAGCATTCCTATAGTCCTACCACGAAATGTGCTTCGACCCAAACATGTTCTAATAACAAAAAGCAGTGTTCTGAGAGCACAAACCCGATGTGACAACACAAGACAGATTGCGCCAGAAATGTTCTAAGAACATCTCTAACCAGCCTCGAACGTATCCCTATCCCTAAGATCTAAGATGGGCGAGCAAAAAGCGAGGACAATCTTAGGGATGGGCCCTCAGAAACTGAGGGGATCCTTAAGATCGGCATCGAGGTGAGGTGATGTCAAACATAGGGATAGTGATATGTTTCAAACAGGTAAATGTCGTGGAAACCACAAAAGGTTCTCAGAACGTTGTTTGGCAGGGCTGTAGGCGAGCCAGGACGCTTCGCCGCTGCTTCACTCCTCCAGCGCCCCCGCGGGCCCCCCGGGCCGGAGGGCGCCGTCCCCGAGGCGGAAGCACACGATCCCCGCGAAGACCAGCGCCAGCGCCGCCCACGTGGTGCTCCCCAGCCTCTCGGGCGACACGCTCTTACCAGCCTGGAACATATCCCTATCCCTATCCCTATGCTAGGCGTCTCCTCATCACGATGCCAATCTTAGGGGTTCCCTTCGTTTTTCAGGGCGAATCCCTGAGATTGTCATCGCCCTTTGGCGTGTCGATCTTAGGGATAGGGATCAGTTCGAGGCTGGTGACGCTCGGAGGAGGAACACCCGGCGACAGGCCCACGGGGTCCTCCCCCGCCTCTCCTCCCCACACCTCTACCTCTCGCCTCCCCAGCCTCTCCGGCGACACGCCCACGGGGTCCTCTCCAGCCTCTCCTCCCTATACCTCTGCCCTTCGCCCGTTTCCCCCTTTTTGGGGGGCCTCCTGGGCGGCCCTCGTCGCCACCGCCGCATTCGCCTCGAAATCCTGGTCAGAGCACGCCCTGGGAGGGGTCCGGGGAGTGGCAGTATCGGTACCTGGTGGTTTCTCCCCACACGCAGCCCGGAGTCTCCACCTTCGGCACCTTCCGACCAGCAGGTGGCCGATCCGGTGAGCATCTCTCAGGGGGCAGGAAGTGGCATCGACGAAAACTCTCCTCCTCCTCCTCCTCCTCCTCCTCCTCTTCCTCCTCCTCCTCCTCCTCCTCCTCCTCCTCCTCCTCCTCCTCCTCCTCCTCCTCCTCCTCCTCCTCCTCCTCCTCCTCCTCAGGGGGCAGGAAGTGGCATCGACGGAAACTCTCGGAGCTCCGCGCTGATGTCTTGGTTCGGCGCTGGACCCCCCCCTCCCCTGGCGCGCGGAGCGCGCCAGGGAGCCCCAGCGCAGAACCAAGACGTCTGCGCGGAGCTCCAACAGTGTAGCTAGGTGCATGCCCACCTGCGTCCCTCGAGAGAATATCACCAACAAATCTGTCACCTGCTGGTCGGAAGGTGTGAAAGGTGGAGAGTCGGGGAAGAGTGGACCCTGGGCAGAGGTGCCCGGCCCCGAGCTCATGGCGCCGCATTCTCGTGTCGCACCAGGCGGCTTCGCCCTGGCTCGGGCCCCGGGGGCCCTCCATCGCAGCTCGGCGGGGCTCGAAAACTGCTGCACAGAGGTCGGGCCCAGTAGGTGGGCGACATCCGAACCCTGCCCCCACCAACGATTGATCCTCCTGGATCGATGGGAGGCAGAGTGTCGCAGAGTGTCGCTTCGAATGTCGCAGAGTGTCGCAGAGAGCCGACGGGGGTCGGCTTCGAACGTCGCAGAAGTGTGACACGAATTCCGAACCCCACCCCCGCCGCCAGTCGAGTTGCCCGAATCGTGGATCTGCGAGGATGGGGTGTCGATTTGGCCGTCGAGCAGTGTCTCCCGATGCTCCATTTTGTCGCGACGTCGGATCTCAGGGTTCCGGTGACCGCGGCTTCCGGAAGGCGGCGCTGGGGCCGAGCCCAGGCGCGCCGTTCACAGAGCTGGGGGAAGCCCGGTGGGCCCGCACCGGAAGTCCCTCCCGCGGAGGGCCGCTCTCCGGGCGCGCCCGCCATAGGTGAAGGGGAACTGGGACACACAAATAAATACACAAAAATAAAAAGATCCCCCATATTTTCTCATATTTTCTGGGTTTTTGTCTTCCCCCCCACTTCCCACATTTTCCAATATTTTCTGGGAATCGCCGATTAATTGTGTCTGTGTGTTTTTTCCCCTCCTGAATAGGGGAACAACAAGTGGCACAAGCATACAAAATTCGGAGGTCCGCGCAGATTCCTCGCATCGGCGCTGGGGCCCCCCCGGGCGGCGCCTCCGGCGCCGCCCCTGGGCGCGCCCATGGAGGGAGGGTCCAGCGCCGACCCGAGGAATCCGCGCGGACCTCCGAACTCTTTTATGTTTGTGCCACTCTTTGCTCCCCCCTCCCTTGCACCGACGCTGGCTCTCCCCGAAATCTGGGCCCCCGTGCCCCCCTCCTCCCCGAGGATCGAGCGCCAGGCCCCTCCTGGAGCACGTCCCGAACAGGCTTCCGAGGCGGATTCGGCCATGGCAGCGAGGGTGCTCCAGGAGCCCCCCCCCTCCCCCCAGAACTCTCGAAAGTTTGGAATCCTGCCCACGATGCTGTCCCAGACATGCGATGTCCTCACTTTTTCAACGCACGGAGCCTGGAAATCCCGACGCCCTCCCTGGGGCCCGTTTTGCATCCCGAGTCGTTTTGGACGGTCACGGGGCCCGGTCAGTGACCCCATGCTGCAGAGGCCGAAAATGTGGAAAACCTCCCGGCGTTGTCTCCATGACCCGAGGGAGTCTGTGGTTGACGCCTCCCGGAAGGTTGCAGGACATCTGGGGTTTCGGGAGCGGCCAAGAAGGGGGTGTCCAAGAGGGGGGGGTGCAAATCATGACCGGCGGCATGTGCGCGGCCCAGCGGGGGGGCCAGGGACGCAATGAAATAAGAAGAGGCGCCACGACATCTGGGGATATATCATGGCCCCCGCCATGATATCCCCCCCCTAGTCATCACCCCTTTGCAGCCCCCGAGGGGTTGAGACCTCTGGGGCTGAAGTCCGGAAGAGAGCCTCCGTCCTGACCTGTCTCCGGACGTCGCATGTCTGGATCTGTGGCCCCGCACCAGAGAGGTCACTCCGGCGGAGGGCCCCTTTAGCTAATGTTACACGCGCTGGGGGCGTTCGATCGTCTTCACCTGTACGGTGTTCGGCACACCAGAGCGGAACCAAAAACACAAATGGCAACCCGACCACACATGTGCATTATATCTGTGTGTATACACACAAAACCAAGTCGGACCGAAGACGGTGCGAACGAGAATCTCAGAACGGACAACAAAGTGGCCCCAGGACGGGGCCCAACAACGAAAGCGCCGATCGTGGTCACAATCAAAAGCAGTCACCCGCATTCTTAACATCCTCTGAAGGCAGGAGAGTCCAGAAAGGAATCGATCAGTCAGATCGGCGATCGAAGTGGATAGTATGGGCGGAAATCTGCAGCCGAGTCGGGAGAAGTCGAATCGGCGGACACTGGCAGGCTAGCAAGCCTCACTCGAGAAACCGCAGTCCAACTCGGAATCCGAAGCCGAAGCGCATCGGAACTGGAAGCCATCGAAATCGAATCGAATCGGAGGGATGGAAACGGGCCCCCGAAGGGCCACTCCCACGTGAGCGATGATCAACAGCGGGCCTCACGCTAGATGGGTTGGCGACCTCACGCTGTGGCTTGCGCAGGCAGCCCGCGCGGCACGCTACACTGGAGACGGGGGCGCTCACGCGCGACCTCACGCGGGAGGCTCACGCGCGAATGTCAGCGCAGTCGAACCCGTTTTGTGTGACGTAGGCCAGGCATGTCCCCCTACAGGCAGACTCTGGAGGAAACGAGAAAAGAGTCAAACCAATGATTAAAGCATGGTCAACGACATGCTCGAACAATCTTACCCAGACTATTTTGGTTACGGTTTGCAGGTTCCTCCTGCGGGAAGACACGCCCGACGTAACATTTTTTGTGTTATGTGTCCCCATCCAACTTAAGGACCGCATCCCAGAAATAGTTTCGAGCACCCAGAAAAGTGTCAAAAGAGTGTAGAAAGAGTGTCGAAACAGTGTCGGGCGAGCGTCTCCCAGGGCCCGACACACGAAAACCATCGAGTTTCGGTAGCTTTTGCAGGGCTCGACATTCTTTCTGGTAGCCGAGGCTACAGCA